TACCACATTTCAGTGTTAGCTAATGAGTCTGTTGGACACTGGTGGGAGAGCTGGCGACAAGCATGATTAATGGAACGGCTTGATAAGTCCCATGCTTAAAAAAAAAAAAAAGTTGCAACATATGGACTCGCTGATTGAGATCGAATTAAATATGGGGTTGGCGAGTGCGTGGGAAAACCCAAAAAACTCTAAATTCAACAAGGCATGACTTAATACAGTCGATAAGCTTGTTTTTGGTCAGCGTCCAGTATTGTGGAATGCTGCGTGTGAGAATGGCGGGCTAATATTTGCAGCGCCTCGACTCCAAGTTTTACGTTTCAGTGCACTTGCGAGGTTGGCGGTGGAGTTCATGCCGCTGACAGGAGCTGCCATTTATGACCACGTGTATCTCACTTTAGAGCCAGACAAAGAAGGCATCTTTTCAACACGAGGGGCGCACTGAAAAGAGGTGCGGAGAACACGCGCTAAAAGACTTTGCTCATGCAGAACTAAAAGTATGCCCTTACCAAAGCAAGGGAGACAGCAAGTCGGCATGATACTGTCGGTACGAATAAAATGAATTACAGTCAAATTCTGACTATGAGCCACGGACCCCCCGACCCCCACCCCCAGTTTAAACAAAAATGTGTCTTATTTGGAGATTTTCTCAATCTCCATCACATTCTCATCAATTCTCAACTTTTCCTTAACACACCAAAACCGTGTGTTTTATTTTTGAATTTGTCAGGGAGACGTGTTAACAGTTCTCGTTTTGATACAGTGAAGCATTTGGAGACATATCTGTTCGGGCTGAAACGAATCAGCGAGTAATTCGAGCATTTTGTCTGCCTCGAGTACCCGCTTATTTACGTGTACACTGTCAAGAACAAGTCAAGCTAACCAGAGCAACAATTATGCATGACAGTAACACGCTAGTAAGGAGACCAACTTCAAAATAAACTTTACCTGACCAAAGAATATATCGACATCAATGCCTTGGTATTTTTTTTTTTAAGTAGTTCTCAGCAGCATTTTTCTGTGTAACAGCTGATTGGATTTGTCTTCCAGATTCTGATTGGGGCCATTTGCTTCTAACTCTTGTTCCTGACTTCGACATGACGATGTCCTGAAATAACCTTCAATCGTTAAATGAGGCCCCCCCCCACCCCCCGCCCCCCAAGAAAAGACTTCAGAGTGCATGGCTACCAGTTCGGGGTGTAGTCTGCCTTCTGCCCGAAGTCAGCTGGCATAGGCTCCAGCACCCCCGCGACCCTTTTGCAGCATGAGCAATTTCAACAGTGCTAGCAGCGCTAGCTAGCAGTAGCAGCGCTCAAGTGCTCCATAGGCACTAGCAAGAGCCGTCGGCTTCTTTTGAAGGGCAGTAGATGTAAATGACTCTGCACACTTGATCCTGACAGCCTGACACAGTTGTTGTTCCAATTGTTCCCTTTTTAACAAAGCAGGCTAACTCAAGTGTGCTGTTCTGGCCAACAAAATCGCCATGATGGCAACGCCACTTCGTCTCATAGTGTTAATATCAAAAAGGAGAGATTTGTCTCAAACCACGCTTGTTTTTATAGAAAAGAAAATCATGGGCTGCTATGCACGGTTTAAATGGAAGTCGAAAATGTATCCAGTCAATAAACCAGTTCATCGTTTAGAATTAGGATTTTTTTTTCCTCTTCAGTCCTTCTAACCATCCATCCATTCATTTTTTAATCTGCATCTCCTCACAAGGGACGGGGGTGTGCTGCAGCCTATCCCAGCTGTCTTTGCGCAGCAGGTGGGGTAAACCCTGAACTGGTTGCCAGCCAGTCGCTGGTCACACGTAGACAAAGATCCATTCGCGCTCACAATCACACCTAGGGACAATTTAGAGTGTTCCATTAACCTATCATGCATGTTTTTGGAATGTGGGAGGAAACTGGAGTACCCGAAGAAAACCCACGCAGGCAGAATTCACAATTTTTTGATTGAATTTTATGCAGGATATCCAATTACCATTTTGTTTTTGGTTTACACGGATTTAGTGGGTGCAGCTCATATATCACCTCCACCACGACAGGGTTTTATGGTATACAATTGTACCGGAGCACCCGTTTGATTGAATTTCTACACACACACACACACACACACACACACACACACCTGCAAAAGCATGTCTCTTTCAGCACACAGGATTGATAGAAGCTGCATTGACCTCTGCCAGGGTGAGAAGGGTCAGGCAGGGGGAACATTTAAAAATGTCTGGTACCAATCTTGACGCCTTTAATGAAATGTTCCCTGTCTCCAGAGACAGGGAGGGCTCACAGGAGGGACAGCATTGGGCCTCCCCTCTCCTCGCACGTCACATCTTGCAGACTAGTCGTTAGACGTGGCGAGGTGTCGCTTCACACTGAAATGTCTTCCTCACTTCCTCTTCCTGTGCAGCTGAGCTCTCCAGAGGATTGGTGCTGAGGAACCCATATGGGCAATCTAAAAGCATCCTGACAAAAAACTGGTCGAAATAAAAGTCACCTTGTAAATTTTGACCTGAGTGAAATTCAAAATCTGGGAAATTTGCTCTTCTTTCCGTGTCAAAAATAATTTTAGATATTCACCATTTCAGGGACAGCGATTACTACAGTGGACAGCTTATCATGTTATTAGGTTACAGGGTGCATGAAAGGGTTAAATGTATGCAAGTATTGGTAGAAGAATTTTTTTGTGAATGTTTTTTTTACTCATATTGGACAATTTTGTTTACTTCAGTTGCGTACAGTATTTAAAGACTGTGAGTTGGCAGATGAGCAAAATTAGGCATCGCGTAAGAGGATGAATGAAAAGCACATCCTGTAAATATGGCCACGGGCATACAACCTGATCTTCGTTGTCACGACTTTACAGGCAATAGTAACTATCAACAGTTGATTGACAGCTACATGAATAAATAAAATAAAAACTGCAGTTGAGAATGAAACCGGCTATCTTAATTCTCAGTGACAACAATACATGATTATACTATACATAAATTAAGAGTGTTTTTGGCTCTAAGGTCTCTATGGTATACACATTTTTTTTTTCACAGCAACTCTAGTTTAATGCAGCACATCTCAACGGGACAAGTCAGCAGATGGACACACTGTAGTCTTCCCGCTGGCTCCTTTGCTTTGACCATCTGACCTTGCATCACACTGAGAGGCAGGATGTGTGTGCCGCTCCCTCTAAGGCCACACAGAGAGCAAACGCTCAAAGGAAGGAGAGAGCAAAATGCTCTTTTTCCTTGCTTGTTATTTTCTCTCGGGGAGAAGTGCACACCAATGTTCAGTTTGTTGACGATCATGAAGCAACATCGACGTAGTGGAGGCTTGAAAGCCGGTTCCTACATAGAGCCTTTGTGGCTGAGCCATGTGGTGGTGGCCATGCCGGAATCGACACTGGCCCTGCTGCTTGACGATATAAGAGGAGAAGTATCCATTATTGTTTCATATTCAGCATCTTGTTTAATCCTTTAGGAATAATATACATTTTTTTTTCTGTTATGAGTTTTTTTTTTCTTTTGCGGAGCCCCTAAAGTGACATGGGAAAAAAAGTGAAAGAGAGAAGGTAACAACCAGCAAGTCAGGGGAGCATAATATTCCCAAGTAGATATATAAAAAAATCTTTCTTCTCAGTGGTTCCCTTGGGATACATACTAGTTCAATCCAATTAAGACAGCGGACTCACACATTGTCACATGGGCCAGGCAAAATCCTCTCCCTACGTGGGTGCGGCAACGATAGTATGATAACAATCAACCATTTTGGATGGATTAGACCAGTGATGTCCAAAGTTGATCGTGATCGACCGGTAGCTCGCGGACTGGTTCCAAGTCGATCGCGAGGAGTGCAGAGGAAAAAAAAACAAACAAACATTTGTGTGTCTCTGTGCATGTTAGTCATATATTTTGTGTTAATGCACACTGCACCCTAATCATCCTATCTGTCTCACTTGGACAAAAAGTATTTAAAAAATAAAATAAAATAAAATAAAATAAAATAAAGCAGATCACCTACGGTGGCACGTGACCTACGTCACCGGAAGTTGTTAGCGCTAAGCAGTCTGCAATTGCAGCTTGTGATCAGAGCTGTTGGGATATAGCTTTTATTGTTATTATTATCAATCAAAGTTCATTCCGTGTACAATTCACCAATTGCACTCGCAAAGAATGGCAATCTGGAGGGCCGCGAGGAGCATTTTAAAATGGTACACGGGAGCTACGACAGTAAAAAGGCTGCAAAAGTGCGTCGCATGCCTCGGCGTCAGGTCTCCCACTAAGGTAGGCAGTGATTTCCTTTTCACAAACTCATCAACTCTTGTGTCTACTTTACTTTTCTGTTTCATTCATCTGGCTGTTGCTCATCATGGCATGCGTGTGTAAGTGCGTGCGTATGCGCGCGTGCACGGTCACGGGTCGATCGCGGGAAGTTGATTGATCGAAAAGTAGATTTTAGGCATACCTGTCAACTTTTCAGAGTGCCAACCTGTATAAACTACCAAAAAATCCTTATAACATACCAAAGCATTTTATATGTCGAAATAACGGCAGAAAAAAACCCACGTGATTTACTGGAAAGTTACCGGAAATGAAAGCATTCGAGTAGACTAGCACCATTGTGGGCAAAAGCAAACGGAACTACCTGTTAGGTGAAAAAAAACAAAAAAAACGGAAATTTTCAGAATCCGTATGATTTGTGCGATACGGCCATATACGTAAGATTCACCACAAAATCCGTATGAACTATGGCTAAACTGTATGAGTTGACAGGTATGTTTTAGGTCAAAAAAGTTTGGGCACCCCAGGATTTGACCATCATCCGCATCGGGCAGAAAAAGGCTCCACAGCCGCGTGGCAATTTTTAAATAGTTCAAGTGAGAATATACGGTATGCAGGTACTTACTGTGTAGCACAGCGAGCATTCAAGTAAATGGTTCATGTTATTCTTGAGAACGGTAACGGTTTAATCCATTCAACGGAGTTTCTCTGATTTTTTTTTTTTTTTGAAAGGTTTTTGGTGATCATTTGATAAATATGCATCCTTTTTGAGTTCCATTGGCAGGGATTTGCTTGCACGTCACGTTGCTGCTTCTCCTGCATCTGGCTTCGGTTTGGTTCCCAGGTTGCGTCAGGAAGGCCACAGAAAATCATGCGTCCGAAGAGAAGAGCATCGATCTCCCTGGGGGGGGACTTCAGTTAATACACACTCTCTTATTTTAATCCAATAAAGGCACACCCGCGCACACGCACCAATGGATCGGTGCACAGCATGCATCGAGGGAGAGCTTAAGGAGAGCATCTGTTAGTTCATTTACATGCACGGTTTAGCCCAGCTACCGCTTTAACTCCACTAAGTCATTTAATTGGAAAGAGAGCTACTTGAATTGTCCCAGTGTACATTTATGCTGGAGGGGGATCAGTAGAGTGACTGAATAATGTTTGCATCTGCGACCCCTTTCAAAAGACCTTGCATCCTGCTTTCCGTGAGTTGCGTCCATGCGATCTTGCCTTTTTCTCGGCTAGAATAAACCAAAAGGACAACTTTTGATGTTGGAGAATGTTGCCACCACGACAAGGTTTTTTTTTCGCTCGCATCCGCCTCAACCTTGACTGAACCAGTTACCAACCGGAGACCGTCTGTCTCCTGGTACACAGAGACCAACTTGTGTGACATAGAATAAACCAAAAGGACAACTTTTGATGTGAGAGAATGTTGCCACCACGACATGTTTTTTTTTCGCTCGCATCCGCCTCAACCTTGACTGAACCAGTTACCAACCGGAGACCGTCTGTCTCCTGGTACACAGAGACCAACTTGTGTGACAGTGGGGCTCAAAAGATACATTTCGAATGGCACTCAAAGGGAACATCTGGTTCTAATGTGGTCACAGCCGAAGGCTGGTCGCAAAACAGGGTTAGACAAAATATGGATATCCCAGTAAATCGCATAATTAGCCCTTAGTGGATAGATTTGGAAACACCAACATAAGATATAAGCTGTTACTGTCCACTCGCAGTCATCGCCGCGGATTTCAGAGCAACACAGTGGAGCTCAATGACTTTTTTTTTTGCCCTTCTTTTTGCATCATGATTTTAATATTTGGTGCAATAATCAACTCGTCACTGGCCTCGAGGAAGTAGTTATTTTATTTGCTTCAAACCATTTGTTGCTGTCTTAGTTTAGTGGATGGTTTAAATATGTGTTGAAAAATGTATGAGCAAAAATGAAATATATCAAGAGCACGTATTTTGCATGTGTGCATGTATTTAGTCCAGATTTCAAATGCCATTTTGGTCTGGTTAGGAAGTGCGTGTGCTTGGTGTTCTGCATGCTCCAGTATTGAAGTTGCCCATCCCTGACGTAATAAAAGATTGGCAAAATCTGGTGTTATCTATACGACGTAGTTTACACTCTTTGTTCTACATCAAAATTTCCCACAGGAGATGATGCTACACTATCGCCCGCATGTTTTGTTAACCAAAGCAATACAGGAAGTGCTCATTTGTGCTCTGGGCTAAACATGTTCCATACAAGCATTGCTCTCATTAATTTTTGTAAAGGACCGAGTGGCTTTGTTATTTGATGCCCACAGTAACAAACCTCCAGCGGCCTTTTTTTTTTTCTCAGAACTCCCCACCCTGAGGATGCACTTTTACCCCTGAAGCTCCTCCACAGTAGCTCTTTGAATGGACTTTCCAGACCACAGCTTAGCTCAGCTGTTCAGGCAATCAGTGCTACCTTTTTGGTTTTGTGTGTGTGTGTGTGTGTGTGTGTGTGTGTGTGTGTGTGTGTGTGTGTGTGTGTGTGTGTGTGTGTGTGTGCGTGTGTGTGTGTGTAAATTTATGGTGGAGTTTGACTTTGCGGACACGTGTGTTTGTTTGTGCGAGTTGGCGTGCGTCGTGATCTTTCAGCGTGTTGCATACATCACATGCGCCGCGACTTCCTGATTGTCACCCTAATGAAATAGCCACAACGCGTCATCCGCTGTTTGACTTCTGGATGTGTATTTAGGCCACATTTCTCTATTTATCCAACTCTATTTTGATTAGCTGAGCAAATGTCGAAAGATTAATGCCGAAGCTGCTAGGCCCATAAAATAAGGTGTATATTTGTTCTGGCGCCGCACGTTACTGTATGACGCTAATCCGTGGCCTTTCATGTTCAAACGTTATGTGCGATTGTGCAAAACATTGGCGGATTTGGTGAAGGAGCAATTATTCAGCAGGACGGTGTGGCATGCGGGGACATTGCTCTCAACAAGTCTTTTCATCTGTTATTAATTGAAACATTTCACCTGACCTGTGCTCCAAGAATGTGCGCTATTTCACGGCGGAAAGTGGAAAACATCGTCTTAATACCGAGCTCCACCGTTTTCTCTCCTTTTATTTGACATTTCTCAGCGATCTCATGACGTGAACGCGTGAAAGCGAGGGGTCTTAACTTAGGACTTAGGCCCAGCCCGTTCCCGGCTTCTCATCTTTGGAGTGCCTGCGAAGGTGCCCGAGCGCACCAAATCCTCGCTTCATTTCTCCATATGAACTCATTTCCTTGCGCCGCTTCTCGAGTTCACGGTATTGTAACCCGAGGAGAGCGCGCAGCGAGGGCCTCCGGGGGGCCGCGAGCATCCAAGAGCCAGAGAATTAACCCCTTGGGTCAACTGCATTATCCACCTCTATTTATAGTTAAACTTTAATTTTTAGCGGGTGAAAAACGGCAAAAAAGAAAAAAAAAAACAGGATTACGGGGGTCACGGCGTGAGATTTGCAGTTAATTAAATCAATCGTGGAGATTGACAAAATCTGTGCCTTTTCCTTCAATGCTCTCTCTTCTTAATTAGAATATACACAGTGCCCCACATTTTTTTTTTTATTCAGAGGCACAACACAACACAAAAGAGATTTCAGTAAGATCTGATGAGACCATTTTTTTCTTCGAGAGAAGTTGTCATAATACAAGAAAAAAATTAACCGTATTTTCCGCACTACAAGGCACGTCAGAGTATAAGGTGCACCTTCAATGAATGGCCTATTTTAAAAATGTTTTCAGATATACGGCGCACTGCATTATCAGGCGCATAGAATAGAAGCTACAATGGGGGCTGAGGTTGCGTTATGCGTCCACTAGTTGGAGCTACACTAAAGTGAATACAATAAAATACAATACAGCTTTATTTATCTAGTGCTTTCACAACCTCTGCAGCTGTAACAAAGCGCTTTACAGAACATTTAAAATACTACATCCAAGAAATTTGAATATTGATCCATATATAAGACGCATCGGATTATCAGGCGCACTGTCGGCTTTTGAGAAAATTGAATGCTTTTAGGTGCGCCTTATAGTGCAGAAAACGCACACTCCCACACACCCCCACACACTCACACACAACATAGGAAAACACAGAACTTAATAAAGTCCAGCAACGCAGTACTGTATATCAACACCTTTGTTTTTTTTCACTGTTGGCTTCTCATACTATCCTCACGAGGGAGAGGAAATACAAGAATACCCAGGTTAGCTTTGCGTTACCTAGCAGCAGAGGTGTCAAATCCAGGTCCGGAAAACAAAAATCCGTTTGAAGCTTCTGTGGCTTGAGCCAAACAGTGACAGGGTTTTTACTTTCTGGCTTAATGCTAACATATTATGTGCAACACCGTAGGTTGGCTAGATTTGGTAGATGATGATGTATTTCACTTCATTTTTTTTAAACAGGTAGCCTAATTTGATGAAATTCATCGAACAAACACTCAATTTTTCTGCAAAAATACAGCATTACAGTATTCTTCAAGGGGTTTTATTTTGTTCCATCCCCAAAGAAAATTAACAAAAATCCAGCTGTTGTTTTGTACAATTACCACTGAATCCTTTATTTCTAGTATGGCCCTAATACGTCTTTATGAACCTTGCATTCCATCACTTCATAGCCAAGCACTTCATGACTGATATATTGGAGAAGAGGATTACTTCAGTGCGACACACTTAACAGAAGCGTCCCACAGTTATTCTTAAAATGTAAACATATCTTGAAATCTCTTTTTTCTTTTTTTTTTTTAACAGATCACTCTGCCTTCTTTTACTGCAGTTAGCAGGAAGTGGAGCTGCCCAGTGTGCTTTGTTTACTCAAATGTCACCAAAGCAGGGGACAAGAGGGGATGCATAAATACCTTGTTGGAGTTGTTGACATTGCATATCGAGCCACCATGGACCTTCAACGCTGTGAAATCACAACGTTGCACCACAGATAAAAGCCTTCAAAATGCAAAATCAAGGTGAGCAAAGAGAAACTTTCCTTTTGTTGAAACACTCCTGTGTCAAACTTTGCACATGTATCAGGATAAAGGGCAAAAGGTCAATTCTGAATAAAGACACAGATAAGCGCCTCCCCTTAGTTCATTTACATGTTTAAATGACTAAGTAAAAAACAAAAAAAAAAAAACCCTCTATAAAATTCACAGACAGAAAGAGGAATGAGTGATGTCCAATGCAATTTGTCCATTTTGAACATAGCAGTGAATCTCCATTTATCGCCGGAGATAAAATACAAATGGACACACAGCGTATAAAAAAAAACCCAAACATATTCAACCTCTTAGAACACACAAAATCTTATTCAACACACACTTCAAGAAAAAAAAAGTATTCCTTCCTGCCTTTTGTCACTTTGTTGCAGTTTGACATCTCCAGTTAAAGTTGACAGTACAGCTGTTACATAAAACAAAATGTATTGCAGTATTTTGGCAAACCAATACGATTCTTTTGATAAAAATCCGTTATCTTAATGCTAATACAATGCGAAACACCGTAGATGGGCTAGATTAGCATAGATTTACCTGTAACACTGGTCAACAACTTTTTTTCCTCGAACACATCAGGTTTCTATAATAATAGTTATAGTAATAATAATAAATACAATATATGTGAATGACATGATCACTATTTTTTTGTTTATGTGCTAGTTAGTTTAGTTAGTTTTGTTTCAAGTTTTGTTCTGCTTGTCAGTTGAGTTTTTTTTTTTTTCCTCATCAACCCAGTTCTTTACATCTACCAATCAGCTCCCTCAGCCACTTGTGTCTTGTCCAAGTGTTCCTACTTGTTGTGGTTTTCTTGATTTAATTCCCTGTTTTTTTTTCTGTCAGTGGTGGTGCATTGTTTGTGGTTTATTGAAGTGCTGCTTTTTGTCCCGCAATGGTGTGTGAATTTTGTTCCTTTGTTATATGGATCTCAGTTTGCTACATTTAAGTCAGTTTACTATTTAGACGAGCCTTGTTTGGCTTTTTGTTTTTGAAAATACTTATTTTTTTGTTGGAGTACATCATGCACAACTGCCTCATCTCTCCTGCTCCCCTGCATTTGGCTCCTCAACCATGCTAAAACCCTAACAGTAAATACACACCAAAGCATGCATGTACAGTAAATCACATGTCAAGCATAAACGCCGGACAGTGACAACACGAAAGTAAACAATAATATGTAAATATTACAACTATGAAATGTTGCAAGGTGCTCGGCTGGCCTCGGCTGACACTTCCCCAACTTCCACAACTGTGAACTGTGTGTGAGCAACTTTTTTGTTCTGATATAATGATGGACACGCCTCTAATGTAGCAATTCAAACCATATTTAAGTGCCCATGCTTTTGCTGCGTTTTTTTTTTTTTTTTTCTTCTGCTGCCCTGTTGTATATTCCAATTTTGCTCTTTGAGAGCACTCACTTGAACCATGCAGTGTAAATCCCGCCAGAGAGGCCTGGGTGCTATTACAGGTCATTGTCAGTGTAATGCGGACCAGGTGACACCTTCGGTGAGAATTGAGCTGCTCATCAACGTGAGCATGATAATGAGCACACGTGGTAATTACTCCAACACTGTTCTTCGCTCCTCCAATCCACTCCACCCGTTTCCTTAATTCGGCGCACCCCAGCCCAGCCTGAGTAACGCAAGCCGCTGCCCCGAGCACAAAGGAAGCCTGTGTGAGGTGTTCGCCTGCCCCTGCGAGCAACCCCCTCCGCCCCAAACAGTGTGGCTGATGTGCTCCATTTGCCGCATGACGGAGCGAGCGGGACGAGGCAAAAGTTCACACACCTTGCTGACTGGCATGGCAGGGAGGGCGACTTGACCCCGCTGAGCCGCGCTTCGGGGGCCGCCTCCCATCTGCTGGCCCTCCTGCCCGTAGTTGAATGGGCCGCTTTACTGGCACCTCGGTTGTCCCGAGACCACCACTGACTCGAGATTGAAGTGCAGTGCTGGGAATAACACAATTGTGACAACCTTTGCTGCAATACAGTAATATGAGGCCTTGCGAATAAAATCTTGATACTAACAATCTCCATTACGACCTCAGTAATTGCAGTTACATTGGTTTGCTTTTTTAACCTCTACAAATGGCACATTCAATTTTTCTACATTACTCCTCTCTTTTGACCCTGGTTTCTAAATTGCTGAGAAAAAAAGTTTGCTTTTATAAATTAAAGAGGATATTTGTTTAAAAAGAATTGAAAGTGGAAATATTTGGAGTTTTCTCAAAATCAAAATTAAATTTTTTTGACGCTGATTTCAAAATTGTCTTTACTTTTGTCCTGCAGCACATCAGGCTTTTGAGATATTTTCAATTTTTGTTTTTAAGTTTGACCTAAACAAGCTTTTACCATTGTAATTTTTACAACAATGTGCTCAAGAAAAAAATGGTTGCAGATTCGGAATCAGCACAAAACATTCATCTAGAAAAGTGTACTTGAATCTTTGATTAAAAAAATTAATACATTGTTGACCAGTGTAATTATAAAATGAAAGGAAAACACATTTTCGAGAATCTTACTTTTATTTATTGACTTAACTTGTGTATGTCCATGACACAGACTCCCCACGCTTTGCTTTTTCCTCCACAGAAAGAAATAATTATAAATGTAGTTAAGTATTACTGGAAAACACAATGTATAGGCTAATGTATATGCTTCATTGTCACAGCTTGAGAATGGTGGTGACTAGGTGGCCCTCTCTTATATCCAGAAATGTATATTTTGTGAAAGATAATGTAATGCAGCATGGCCTTGTTGATTGGCTGCCACATCTATGAAAAGCCGCTTTTTGTGTAAACCGATTTATGAGTAATACATTGGGGAGTGTTTGTACATTGTCAAGGGTCATCCACTAAATGACCACAATAAAATTAAGCTATCATGGTTTGCTTGTACAGATATTAAAGGATTTCCCTGTCATACCTGTGCGGCGAGATGTGTTTGCGGAGGCTACATTTTCCAGGACGTTGGTGCGTAAAAGTGCGTTTTACTTTTTAATCAGTGCACGCTCAGCCGCGTCTGGGTGGGAGGTTGTGACAAGCAAAACAAATGGCAGAGCCACCACGCTTCCTCTTTTCCCACAATTCAGCTGTCTCAGTGAAAATGATCCACTGGTGACTGAGCACAATTTGGCATCCCCCCCCCTCCCACACACACACACACACACACACACACACACACACACACACACACACACCACCCTCCCTTAGCACACAGACACCCACCCTCTGACCCTGCACATGTGCACCGCCCTCACTTTACCACCCAACCACCCCCCCACCCCCTTTGTGAACACACTCCACTCCTGCCCAGAGGAATTCATTTTCTAATTTTCCTTGACTGAGCAAACAATACACACGCCTTAACAATGTTGACATCTCTAATGCCTGAAAATGCAGTAGTAATGGAGCTTTGATTGCTCGTAAGTGGATACACGATTACAAACACAGAGCTCACCCCTGCCAGTGTCCTCCCAAGACATGTCCGAGAGGAGAAACGAGGAACTCTGTCAGGACCTTCCAATTATGAACATGCAGTTCAAGTAGCATTTCATGACAATATGCAAATGATGAGATGTTGTTGACTCACTGCTCCGCTGTCAGTTATAGGCTAACCACACATGACACATTAAACCCTTTATAGACATTCACTTAACCATAGAAAATTATTCTAGAACATTACAAGATCATTTTTTTAAACACCACACAAATTATGATATCTCCACTGACAATTGTCCTTTACATGTAGTAGTAGAGATAGATACTTCATAAGCGAGGCTAACTGTTAGATTCAGTAGCTAATCGGCTTTTGCTCCATTTCACTTCTCTCGGAGTCTGTGGCTTGGCAGAACTTGGTGTTGAGCACTCACAAAGAGATTTGCCATCGTAAATAATCAACAGGCTTAACATTTATGATTGGCGCCCCCGATTATATTTGGGGAAAAAAAATCTCTCAACACACTACACGCCACATGATAATCAGTTGGCATAATCTTTTAGAGCAGGGGTGTCAAACTCATTTTTATTGCCGGACACATGGTGGTTATACTTTTCCTAAGGGAGCATTATGACCGTGTGAACACATAGGAATGCCATGATGGCCTAAAACAGTCAAAGAAAAAAAATGACCAGGCTTCCAAGTTTTCTTCAATTTCTTGTTCATTTTGAATACCTGGGATCGAAAAGGTGTATCATGTGACTAACAGACAGAGTAGTGAACGTGGAATGCCTAAAAGCAATTTTTTGTCAGTACAATGCTAGAAAATCTTAAGTCAGGGCTGTCCAAACATTTTCCTCCAAGGACCACAATCGGAAAGATCGAAAAATGCAAGGGTCCCTTTAATTTTATTTAATTTTTTTCAAGCATACAAAAATCAGTCAATCAAGCAATTGCTTATTGTTTATACAGTATATTGCAGTGCTTTTAGAACAACTGCTACGTGAACAACTTTCCGTAAGGCAAACAGTTTAGGATTTTAGAAGATGTTGGGGTGGCCATAGACCCTGTTAATCCACCAGAAAGCATCTGCCCCTGCACTGAACAGCAGCTGAATGCCCTCTCTAGATTAAAAACCAAAACAGCAGCAATCTGTCGAAATCTCACCTTTTTTAAAGCACTTACTCTGGAATCATTCATGTGGGATCTTCACAATTTGGACGTGGATAGAGAGCAGAGAGTTGCTTTTTAAAACTTAAATATCATTATTAATCACAGTCTTATGAAGAGAAATGTTACTTGTTAGTTGTAAATATCATTTGCATCTTTGCTTATTTAGAAAAGCTCAATCATGTATAAAACAAATGTATTAGAATTGTCATTTTTGGAATATGTCGCGGGCCGCTTAAAATGGACGGTGGGCCACAGATGGTCCCCAAGCCATAGCTTGAACATGAGTCTTAAATTATTTTGAATATACAGTGCAGCATACTGTACATTTAATAGTAACATTTTTACAGTTAATTAATGGGTTTTATTTTTGGGGTTTTTTGTTAAGCCATTGCATGTTGTGGCTTTTCTTGCTAGTGCTGCTGTGGGTTTACCCTGAGTGGGCCGAGCTCCAGTGAGCAATCAAGCGCCTCGTTCACAGTCTGTCACTCCCAGGCTGTGGTGCTACCGCACGGTGATGTCAGCAAACTTTGAAACCCCACTTTGTACACACAACTGATTGTTTAGCATCATCAGTCATGTTGTCAGATGCAAATATGTGATGAAGATTAATGCTTTCTTTCAAAAAAGCCGAAACCACACTATGGCTTTTTGATTCATTCAAATATTGTGATGATGAGGTTCATCTTTTGTCTCTATTCCAATGTTTTATCCTTGATTGTCCCCCACCACCCGTGTTAATAATGCATCGTACATGAACCACAATATCCTTCTCATTGAAACATAGCTCCAAGTCCATTTGGCACTGCTCCCCTATACTACGTGCTTGTTTGATAGCACTCATTAAACAGTGCATCTCAGTCTCTTATCAAGGCTAATTGTTAGCCCAGTTAATCCTGACTTCATATAGACAATTTGAATCCAAATACCTGTTGCATTCCTCATTTTGCAGTCACGTTGGATTTGGCTGAGGTTTCACAAATCGGACAATACATTTTTAGTATGGTAAACATAACAGTGGTCAACACATTTTTACCCCGTGATTTAATCAGAGAAGCAAAAATGTTTCTAGATGTGTTTTTTTTTTTTTGAGCGCCATTTCCAAATCTGTCCCTCATTTTTCTTGAGCAAATCAGGCTCTTCTCTCTCTCTCTCTCTCTCTATATATATATATATATATATATATATATATATATATCTCCCCGAGCCGATTGTCCTCACAAGTGTCGCGGGCATGCTGGAACCTATCTTAGCTGACTTTGAGCAGTAGGCAGGATAGAGACGAACAACAATTCACACCCACACTCACACCAATGGACAATTCAGAGCGTTCCATTACCTTACCATGCATGTTTTGGGAATGTGGGAGGAAACCACCCAGAGACAACCCACGCAGGCATGGGGAGAACATGCAAACTCCATACAGGAACGCCAGGGCATCAATAATGACAATGATTAGATGGCCGGAACACAAAAAACATGTTCAAATGACATTTACAGTATGTTCCTCATAGCATTGAAATCAGCATTACAATCGTAATGAAATAGAGAATTTTGCCACCCACATTGACTGTATGCATCGATATGAGTCAGTTCTGTGAAAAATTGCCTTTTACTGTCAATCATATGTTCCCAACATCCTTGTCCAAGGTTCTCGGCACTTTGTTTATTAAAACTGTATTTTGTTCAAAACAAGGCGAATGGGAGGAATTTGATCTGAAGTGGTTGTGCATGTTTTGGAAACTGGTTTCAGAGATTTTAAAACATGGTTTAACTAGATTGAGTTGCGAATTGGCTTTTGCTCCATTTCACCTCTCTAGTTTCGAGGAAATCGGAGGAGTTTATCAATGGACAGAGAAATCTCACAAATGCCATCAAAACATTGCGTTCATATTTTACATTGGAATACCTACAATTCATAGTTTATTGGATGATTAAACGACCTGATTTTGAGCTGAATGCCTTCATGGAGTCGATGGTTTAGGACCCTACATGCGATATTTTGAGATTAGGAATAGCGCGCAATGAGCTAGCTTGCACAGTTGCATACTGAGAAGTATTCATGTCGTACAAGAAGTCACATTCAGTTAACAGCATTACTTACTGTTTTTTATTTGAATCTTTGCTCCAAATAGTGACAGCACCGATGACTGTACTGCGTTAATGTAAGTTACTGATAGACTTTGGGTTATGTTGCTGCCAAAGGAAATGAACTCAACTGTAAAGCCATGACCTCATATATTCTCAGTATTGAGTCCATACGTTTTTATTTTAAGATTGCCAGCAGTTGGTGAATGAAGGGAAAGTAACAGCCTAAGTCCTCATCACTACAAAGTGAATAGGAAATGTTTGGTGAATGTTTTGAAGGGTTAGGCTCAGGTAACTGCTGCTTGCCAGTAAAACATCATCTCATTGGTTGTTGAGCAGCGAGCACACAAAGGATGTACAACGTAAACATCCAACAAAAATTCAAGAACAATGATGTAGTCTTCTAATTCGGTGGATGTGACTTTATTTGACATCCGTGTCATGAACTACGCTCTTTCTGCTGCTCCGTCTGGCACCCCCATCCCCATCTCCATGATTTGTCGACCCGATTGTGTCGCTTGGCTTTTCTTAACGTCTTACCATAAAATCATCTGTTCCTGCCAAAACGAGCCACCGAGTGACTTATGCTGGTAGGGAGGCCGATCCGATCCCGGACACAAGCTCGTTTCGTGGCCCACACGAATCGAGGGGGCGGAGGGTTGGAAAGGTCCATTCAATTATTCCCATGCTTCTTATTCTGGGCAGCAAGCAGCATGGTGTCTACAGTTTCCCAGGCCCCTCCTAAAAAAAATGACACATTCGCAGACCAGATGCTTCAGACAGCCAGCACAGAGCCGTGATTATTAGCAGGGCTCTCTTTTTTGTCTCGGAGGAGGCGGGCTATTTTTAAACCATGGTGAAAGTTTGAATATCCCTTCCACCCACCGCCGCTGCCAGATATTGCAGGCTTCCAAGCTTATTCGAGGGGAGTCGGGTAGACCGGGGGTGGAGTGGGCACAGAGACAGCACTGTGTCATTACTGGCAATGGCACATTTACTTACCCCTGGTGACCGTACCCCCAACGGCCAAATTCACAATTGAAGAGTGATTGAGAATCATGCACCGCAGTTTTTTTTTTTCTTCTTTCCCTTCTTTTTGGCTGGCAGTGATTGCACGTGGCATTCCAAGAAGCTAGTCCATTTCCCATACATTCCTCGATGGTGAAGCAGGGGGGTTCTCGAGCAGAACGAGGGCTGTCAAAGTGAAGAACGGCAACGTCTTTTAGTGGAGACCGGACAAAAGAACGTACTACGCAAGGAGTCGCCGTCGGCGTCGCTTGAACTGACTCTGAACCGTGACAGACATGTGAAGTGAAGCAAAACGGCGAGATTGTGCACTCAGCTTCTGCTTTTCTACTTACGAGAGGCTCGGCGTCATGAAAACAAATGATGCCTTACCTTTCACGCATGGTGTGGGGAATACTTTTTAAAAAAAAATGTTGTGAGCAACAATATAATATGTGATCTCGGTGCTTTACATTTGGCAGTAAACGTACTCGAAGCTCTCCTTTTAAATCCTCTGAGCCTCCTGGGCTTCCTGAGCAGTGGGTGGAGTCGCAGGGATTTTGTTGTGGGGTCAGACAAAGTGGCATCGCAGTGCAATGTCTATGAATAGCTGCCTCTAAAAATAACGACTTTTTTTCAGGAATCAAAACAAGATAATTGATTAATCAGAGGGCAGACCACTCTTCCTTAATTCCCACCAGACTTGACATATTTTGTATTTGACCGGTGCTATTGAAAAATATAATTCCAAACATACAATCCAATGCAAAGAGAGGGCAACAAAATGAAACGATATTTCACCTATTATATTTGCAATGATGGCAAAGGGCTAAATAATGTGGGAGCAACGTACAATCATAAGATCCCACATAAACGAAGCCGTTCCCAGATTCAGATGTAAATTGCTGCCAATATGAATCGGATCAGAATCCTTTATTTTAATGTGAGGATATTTGACCATGCAAATGTAGAAAATGTAAATCCAATGGGATTTGATCCAAAATTTGGAGGTGAGATGGAGGTTTTGCCAAATACAAAAGATAAACAGAAACTGTTTTCACCTAATGTTAGGGGTGCACCCATCGATCACCTGGGAATTGTAATCAGCGCTGATTTTCTCAATTTCGAAGGATTGGTGATTGGGTGATCCTTTAAAATATAACCGATCTTTCCACATATCTTATCCCCCCCTGCAGACATTTGAAAAAGTCGTCCTGTCCTCTTCTGCTGTGAGATTACGAATACGATTTTTCATTGATCAACCCGGAAAATTGTGATCTGTGCACCCCTACTTCATTTTCAGCATTGTGAAGTCGTGGTTACTAAGTCTTTTGGCGTCGGTCTTTGTCGTGCGCAGTTTGCTTGTGCTCCTAATTTCTCCGATATTCCCCCAAAATCTCATGTTAGCTCATTGAAAATGCTAAATTGTCAATTGGCGCGAATGACAAAAGGTTCGACTGTGAATGTGCCTCTGCGATTGGCTGGCGGCCAGTACGGGTTGTACTTTGTCTTTCGCCCAAAGTCAGCTGGAAGCCTTTCCAGCTCACTGATGACCCTTATTGGACCAAGTGGGTAGTTCCATCATTTCCCTCAAACAATTCGAAAATAGAAAGTATACCTACCTGCCGGTCGAAAGGCATATAGACCCACAGCACCTAGCCATCAATGGATTCCAACATAAGACAGAGGCCAAAAGTTGCATTCATTAATCATTGTAAAACTTTTTCTTGAATAACATATCACATAACCATACATATACTTAGGCCTATCTTACAGAATCTTTACATGGAAATATGACGCTGTGAGGTACCATTTCTGTCCCACTAATGTCACCTTTCAAAATGAAACCCATCTGTTGTTGTTGGCGTTCCCCAAACATCATCCTGTATACGAACATAGCATCACGTCTGATCTTTTTTGGAAACAGGTCCAAACAACAAATCCTCAAGGAATTCACACAGACTCTTACAAAGAGTCACAGAAATGAAGCCAACTTTTGACAATGTGGGAGTGAGGCAACTTTTTACATGCTCATATTTGGGACACAAATCATAAGCGGAGGCAGTCGTAGGCTCTCAGCCCAGCGCTGCTATCAGTCCTCAAAAGGTTTTAGACAAGATGGATGAAAAATATGATTATCACTGTCACTGGATCTGCTGCAACTTCATAAAGTTCTCCATAGGCTGCATCTCGCAAAAACACAGCTACATGTTATGCAGATTTTTTTTTTTTTTTTTTTGCATGCACATGTAAGCGATAAACTTGACTCGCTCACATCGCTATTGCGGTGGCCGTCAGCCAAACAACTTGTAAGAATTCCTTCTTCTCCTCAGACTTCCGCAGGCGCCAGCCGCCGCTGTACTGGAAATGACTTCGCCAAGGGGAGTAGTGGGGAGAGAGAGAGAGAGAGAGAGAGAGAGAGAGAGAGAGAGAGAGAGAGAGAGAAAGAGAGCAAGAGAGGCTATTTTCGAAAGGCTGCCCAAAAAATATTTCATAAATAACGGCAGGAATGAGTGGTGCATAGGTCAGTGTGAGTTTATGAGTCACCGATGATGTCTTGAGTTTGACGGCTTGGAAAATGTGGAAGCGATGAGAAGAGCGCGTTTGTGCATTCATTGTTCTGCGAGGAGGCGAAATGGAAAGGACATGAATCTTTCTCTCACCATTTTCCTCTGCTCCGTCACTCTCTCACCCCCTGCCACCATTCCAGGAGAGGAGGGTCTCCCGAGTCTGTCAGGAATGTGGACTTCTCGGTCCCTTGGGGGACGTTGGTCGGGGTCTTGACCCTTCTCCTGTATCCCTGGAGCCGATCAGCTAACTAAGTTAGCATGAGATAACTCAGCGCTCCCACCAGCCCTTCAGCCCACCCCATGAAGCCTCTCTAAGATCCCTTCGTTTTTGTTTCCCCTCACTGCATTCTCGTACGAGACAGGAACTTCATTAGAGGCCGGAGAACATCCATCATGCTACTGTCTCATTTTTGCCCGTGGCAAAATTTGTCTTTCGACCCTGTGACGTCCTCTGACTCTGCACCCAGACGGATGACTTGTTCTTTACCCCCTTTGTGGCTCACTAATGCCTGTGTCTGCTGGTCAATGCTACCATTCTTTAGTTTGACCCAATCAGATAATATCATCTTTGTGGCTAATGATGGCTTTGAGAACTTGAAAAGGGCCATATTATGGAAAAGTGACTTTTAATTGCCTCTATACAAATAATTGTGTCTCTGGAACGTCTGCCCATCCATCAAATATGAAGATAAATCACCAAGTAAATCTTTTGTCAACTGCATACGTCCGAAAATGTGCCCAAGTCCGCTTCTTCTAAGGGTCAGGATCATTAACAGGCTTCTTCAAAGCTTGCTGAAGATCACTAGAGTCAGGTGTGTTGGAGGAGGGAGACATCGAAAACAGGCTGGATAGGGCCTCTCGAGGACCAGACCTGGACACCCCTGCTTTAATCAGATTTTGGCCTGACTTTTACAGATGATCCAGGCTACTTTAAACAAAACCACGGCCAAAGCACCCATGACTTGGCAACTATCCCGACGAATCTTTTTATTTATTTATTCACTTTATTTTTGCAAGCTAATGACTAGGAAGCAATATCATGTTCAAGCCGAAAGCGAAGCAGAGCAACAGTGCCACGGCACGCACGGATCAGTGTTTTCAGCTTCATCTTCTGTCATCTCCTGTGTAACTGCCACATAAACATAGAAATGATATGGTAGAACAGACTAGCATAGCCACTGCAGCCATCAAAACCCTTATAAACCTTATCTACATGACCACATAGAAACACAACCATAAAGTGACATCAAGTTCAAAGTTGAATCCGTGATTCAGTATGATTTAAGGTACGATATATGGCATCTATACTTTCCTGGGCAGAATATGTTTTTAACGGTAACGTAAACTCATACTTGTTTTGGCCCAGCCCAAAGTAAAGGGGACGAGGCCAGCAGTGGCTCTTTTCGTGAGACTGAACCACATCTCGAAACACAGAAGCTGTGAAGTGTGGTCTAATTCTGGACCCTTTGGGAATTTGGACCAAAACATTTCACATTTTACCAAGTCACATTGCTACGATTTTACTTTGTGGAAGAATGGCACATAATACGGAGAAGACATAATACGTCTTCTGTAAGCTCTGTTTCCACCAGGCTCAGTCATTCTCCTTTTCCACCAAAACAAAAAACAAAAAAACTTGGGGCTCGTTCGGCATCAGGGCCAGTACTAGTTGGTGCTTCACAAGTTCTTCTGAAGAACATGTTTCGTTTTCCACCGCCAAAGAACCAAGTAGGAGCTATGTCATTACGTCATTGTAAAGCATCCAAACGTCACTTTTTGCGTCGACGTTTGCCCTAGAGTGCCTGTGCTATCAATAATAATGATAATAATAATACTAAATAATGCACTATAAGCATCTGCAGTTTAGCATGGCATCAATACTTGTATTTATTATATAACAGTGTCTGGGACATGCCACCCAATCTCAGGGCACATATAAATGCTTGTATCTTTCTTGATCACGAGGCTTGTTGCGAATCGGAGATCGCATGTTATCTGGGCACATCCGCGATCGCTCTTCTGGTGGGACACAATTATGCCGGAGTTCACCGCTCAAGCGTTTGTGCAAAACGTCCGTGTGTCCAGGGAGTCATTCCTCTACACTGAATATGCGATCGTCATGATAACCCCCCCCCCCTGCCGTAGTCGGTGACACAGTCTGGCCCAACCAATAATTGGGCCCAGCTTAAGCACCACTTTCAAGCACCAGAGCTAGAGCTGGAGCCAATTTCGGTGGTGGAAAAAGAAAGAACTGGTGTGAATGTGGGCACTAACTAACACTAGCACAAGCATGGTGCAAAAGGGCCATCATAGAATCCCAAAATATCTGATCCAAAACCAGCCACAGCTTTCAGTACCGCTATGTTGAGTTGGCGATTGCAGTACTTCGTACTTTGGAATCCGAGAAATTGCCAGGTCTGCTTCGGTCACTTCTTTGTCTGTTTGGCTGTTACCGCCAAAAATGGGCTACTGACAAAATGAAAAAAAATGTTTATGTCCCAGTTAGAGTGGGCCAATATGACCATATACTATATATTGTGAAGGCGATAGAAAAGTGTATATCAAATGAATGGAGGCTATTCAGTTCCCGCTCACATTTTAATACCTTACTATTCCCCAAGAAACACATTTATGCACTCCCTAGTGATCAAGCCAAGCCTATTTTCCAGATTTTATACAATGAAATGTCTTACAATAAATTCCACTAGCCAACAACACAAACAATGACAAATTACCGCAGTGGTTGGCAGACAACATGTTTTTTTGGTCTCATTTCCGAATGGATTTTATTGCCAGTTGTTTAAAAGAAATATGGCCGCCGGTCTCCAAGCTGCCCATGTGATCCGTCCCCGTGACCTTCAGGTTATTTCTCACACTCGAAACTCTACGAGGACCTCGAGCTGAAAGTGACTGCGATCGGCCTCCTGGGACCTGC